GGTTACGTGTTTTGCTAGACGTGAAAATAATCCTTTTTACTTGGTTGCACCAAGCCTGTCCTGTTTATACCCCTGGATCCTCCCAGTGCTCCTCACCGATGAGGTGCTTTGACAAGAGAGGTCCTACTGATAGAAATACTTCAGAAATAGATATTTGCAGGTTTAAGGCAGAAGAAAAAAGCTTTGCTATCATATATTGCCTCCCTGTGAAAGCACAACAGGCAACATCACGGGCCACATCTGCTGTAGTATAAACAGGCACAATTTCAAGAAGCCAGTACACTTGTGCTAGCATGGCGTTTGACCTATCCGTTTTCAGCCTGTGAAAGACCCTAAACAGGGGCCGTGTTATTTAGCGCACCTTACTCCCTTTTTGAACTGTTGGTAGTTACAGCAGCCACGTTATTCATGAAGGGCGCTCCAGAGTGTATTTGGTGAAATACAGCTGGAGAGAAAGCGCATTCGACGTATCTTCCCCCCCTTCTTTTCCTGACTCTTGCTTCTGCAGCCCATGTCAATAGTTCTCTGTGGTATCTTTCAGTTTGAACAAACTCATGGCATGTTTGGAGGTTAATAATTTCCATAATGCTTCTATGAGTGGCACCAAAAAAGTCCTCTAAGGCTGAATTAGAAAAATCAATTCAGGAAGTCCCTAGACCGTTCGGCTAAATTCACCTTTGCTCTGGCTCATTACGGCGGTTCATAACATTCTTAAATTTCCAGAACGCAAGATACAAGAAAGTGCTAACCTCAGAGACTTTAATCTACGCTTACACTGTCCCAGCACTAGTTTTGCAATTCAGTCTAATAATAAAATAACATAAGGCAATCAAACCTACTTGCTATCAGTGTTACTTCATAACTCTTCAGTCCTGCTTGCCACTGTTATCTGCCAGGGTAACAGAATGAGGCACCTGCGGAGTCCTACGCTCTCTAATGGAAGCCAGTTGTGTTAAGAGGAGTAAGAGAAGGTAACGTGTGCTGCTTGAAGTATAGTTTCAGGGAAGTCATTTATGTTGAAATCAACTGCTGACTCACTGTCAGCATTTAATTTCAGTGGAAAATCTGAATTATAAAAACTAAAATACCACTGCCAAAGCTAAGAGAGCTTTATTAATTTGCATTTAGATAAGGAAAAGACTATTAGCAGCATTCGATGTCCTTCAAAACAGCACGAGGAGGAACAACTTAAAGAAAAAAAAAGGAAAGAAACACAATGAGGCAGGTGTTACAGGAGTAACGTTCACCATGTTAGAGAAACAGCTTCAGTCGGGATTAATTAGATTTTGCATTCCAGTGGCTGCTTGACACGCACTGCAAAATGATGTGCTTTGTGTACATCAGGGGAACTAAATAGCTTGTTCTGACTAATGCTTCATATGCGATCTCCAGGCACAGTTTTAAAGGCCTGATACAGATTACAAAAGTCTCATTCCAGTAAAAGCAAAACAAGTATGGAGAGCTATATAGCACTGATATGAGGTGGGGGAAGAAACCAAGGCTTTCCACATTTTTAAACGCAGTTTCCTCAGTAAGAAGTCAAAGTGTTCCTTGTTGGCTGCTCAGATAAGGACGCATACTATGCTCTCAAAAACACACTGAGTAACTAAGCGTATCTGCAGATAGTCATTTCTCTGCTGCTGACGGTAAATTTCTGCAAGCTGAATAAACCCTACTTCTTCAGTCACATTACTCAATTTTAGTCAAGTGTTATGGCTTATGTTCTTTCAGAGTTCACAGTGGGACCAAAAGAAAGTAAATGTTTATTTACTTCAGTGGGAAAGTACAGCAAGGAAATTAGGATTTTGTCAGACCTGGAACATATTTTCTTCTTCATAACATGCCAACAATTTAAAATGTTAAAACTATTAGAACAGGGGAAAATGTAAATTGAGAAAACAACTCTATTTTATGCCACTGAGAAATTTAAAATGAAAATAAAGCCAAGAAACAATGGCAAATATTGTGCTACGAATCCACACTAAGGTATAGGCAGCCATCCAGCTTACAACGAAAGAACAAGTCAGCCACAAATTCTTTTCCCAGAATTGCGCTGACTTAATTGACAGTGACATTAGTTACAATTATGGCTAAAGTAAAGTGTAGGGTTTTATTGACATATTGACTTGGATTCCATTCAAAGCTCAAATGAAAATGCCGACCTGCAGGCAGCGAGTATTGCAATAGAAAAAGTAGTCGTCATTCTTCTGTTCTGAGAAACCACACATATTCTTGTTTTAGTCCTTTTTTAAGTCCTACCTTCCGTTTGTGAATGTAGGACTGCTGGAAAGGCTAAAACTGACAACTCTCTTGATCTGAGCGTTTCGTTTTTGAGCAGAGGGTAATGACTGTGACTTCCTCTGTGTTAGTACATATGGTAATCTAACATCATATGGCTTTCTGCAGCTTCTCCAAAAAAGACAAGGGCAGACTGTCCTCCCTCCTTACCCTTGGACGAACCTCCTTTGCAGTGAGAGGTACGGAGCGGGGAACTGCAGCTGCGGCTTCTCTTCAACCGAGATATTTGAACTCGAAAACAAAAGATTCTGTGGGACACACAGGAGAAACCTGAGTCTTTATGGCTTTTCAGTCCGTGGACCTGAACTTCCAACAGAAGCGCTGACTAAGTGCAGACTAAGACCACAAACTCAAATTTGTCAGATTTGTCAAATCAGGATAAGTCACGCTAAAACAACTTGGGATCGTTGCTGACTCCAGTCAGACTTAAGTTTGAGCGAGAAGGCTCCTGAAATAGCGATATAATAAGCTTCACTGTTACTTCAGCACTTCCTATTACTCTGTTAAGACTCATAATAATCAACTTACTGGTCTCTTTATTTTCTTCCTAGAATGACTTAAATCATGAGTGGACAGAGGATATAATTTACAATTGTATTTTGGACCTTCTAGAAATGTCTCCAACTGCTTGTGTGGGTGCCAAAATTCCTAATTGTCATCTCTTCAAATAAGGCCCTAATTTAGACTGCACAGGCTGACTCTGTGCTTCCCTTAAATTCGCAGATTTTATTAACTGCATAACTGTCATTCAGCTTTCTGAATGCCAGAAATTAATCTGTGGGTATTTTCTGTCATACATGAGTCCAGGGGAGAAGCTTGAGCCGTGAACATTTTAACTAGTTAAGGCACTTCCTAAGAAGCAAGCCAGCCAAATTCAGTCCTCTGCCTGAGAGCGACGGTTACAAACATACCCCACCTCTCAGGAAAGTTCCCCAGTCAGTTAGCTAGAGACTCAAGCAGGTGTATTTTACATTCAGCATTACCTTTTATCAATACCCAAAAAAGAGAAGAACCTAGAGGAGGGACTGGAACGCCGAAATTTCTCTCCCTTTAGGAGAATGTCCCCACAAACAGATTACACTGTCAAGCTCTTTGCTTACCCTCCTTGGAGGCAGGACTCTCACACTCTCTGCTGCACAATAACGTAATCTTATCAGGAGAAGCTGAGAATGCTTATCCTAGCCCCTGCTATTGCTTGGCACTTAGGGTTAGGGTCTGAACATGGGTTTCCCACTCACAGAGTGGGTACTCTTGACAGCTAAATTATTATATAGCAAGATTAAAGTTCAGTTATTTGGAAGGATGCAGGCTTTTGCCCCGAAGAGGAGGCTCTACACTCCAAGCAGACAAAGATGCCAGCACTCGCTCCAGTGCCAATGCTGCCGAGAAATACCTACTATTTCCTATTGCCTATTTCCATACATTTTTCTTCCTGAGTATTTTGAATTTTATCCTGAAGCAGCTGACTCAACCTCATGCGCTACCTAAGTGCCAGACATTTTACCTGGAGAGGCCTTCACTGGATTTTAGCTCTTATTGCAGTATTAGCTGTTGTCACCAATGGAAACAGTACAGAGAAAATCATTACCAGCAATACACAGCAAAAGGGTTCATTCTTCTCTACTGCCTACCTTGCAGAAAAGCACTTTTGAGATCACAGGAGGAGCAGAGGATGCTGCAGCACAATTATTAACAGGGATCAGAGTCTGACTGGGATTCAAAAGAGGAGGGAAATAAAAATCTCCGAGGTACGACGGAAGTAAGGATTGAAAGGAAAATGGAGGCTGATAAATTTCTGTGATTCCTTGCCTCTGTGAAGGCAAGAAACTGAGACATTCTGGAGAATGAGGCATCCAAAAATTCACTTACTGAAGAAGCAAGGAATACCAGTTTGATAGACTGCTATTAGCATCATGTTGCAGTTCCTGAATCGTTCTGGGAAGTCACCTGCTAGCAGAGCCCCAGGATTCATCTCAAGAATTTTCTTCAAGTCTTTCAAAGAATGAATCAATGCTGGTGAACTGGAAAGCTTGGCGGCTAATGTGGTGTTCCCCTAATTTGGGTCAGCCAAATTAAAACCCTTTCCGTATCACCAATATGACATACTATTAAGCAGGTTTAGAAAAATGACCTTACTCACTGAGGAAATAAGCACTGATGAAATGAAATGAAATGAAATAAAATAAAAAACTCAAGACATTATTAATTGACCAGGTCCAAAAAAAAAAAAAAAAAAAAGGAAAGTAAGCCATGAAGAAGCTGTGAAGTCACTGTGAGAAGCTGGGGGAAGAACATGTCTTGTTCTAGGAGCTGCAGCACTTCCTTTCTCAACCCCCACTCTTTAAACATCGGTCATGATTTGAAGGACTGTGACGTGTACTGAGAGGGTCTGAAGGTCCTAAAAAGAAAGAATGGGGAATGTTTCCCATGGCTGGCTAGCAACTTTACTCAGGAGAGAACCTGCCACTGAGATACACAAGTGCGAAATAAGAATATTGGAATTTGTGTTTCTTAATACAGCAAAGATCTTTAATTCTGCAGGCGTTCTTCTTATTGAAAACATTTCTCCTTGGCTATATAGCTTGGTCATTCTCTCAAATAAAGTATGTCAAAAATGTGAATTTTATATCAGTTGCCCATACAGCCTCTTTCCAACCCTGCCTCTCAAAAGATTTCTTATGACAAAGCTGAGTGCTAAAAAAACCAGATTCTCCTAAGTTCTGGGTTTTTTTCAAATCTTAGGTCTTCATTGGCTTTTCGGGTGAGGAAGTGAGTCTGTTATTTTGATTCCTAAATGCAAAAAGCAAATTGGGGGAAGGAGAGGTCTACTCACAAATATATAATTAGTGCAAGTTCGTGCCCCACAGAGGTCATACCTGAATATACAGATAAGTGGTCTGGATCAGTATGGTACTTCTTATGTCTCTAATCTGCTTCTCCTTAATTCAAAAGAGCCTGAAGTTGGCTTTCAGAACATACTGCATTGATTTCTCTATCTTTTTAAAACCAACATTGTAGTAGAGGAATAATAATAAGTAAAAAAAAAGGTTCAGCGGAAACTAAAGGAAACTAACTAAAATGAGTTAAACAAAAAAGGTTGGTGCTCTTTTCTACCAGCATAAATAGACACAAATGTTCTGGCTTCTGGTTTTAAGCTTTGCCTGAAAACACGTTTACAGTCACAAAAGACTTACGCAGAGACAAGTGCAAACATAACTGCTGCACAAGGTTATACTAACACAGGACTGTGTGGAATACATACAACACATTACATCAAAGCATGAAGATCAACAGACTTGTACCATTTTTACAGGGAATAAATGTGATTCCCCTTTTTGCTGCTCAAATTCACGGACTGTTACAGGAGTGTGTGAGGTCATTACTAACCCTGACCTTCAAACTCTGGCAGCCCTTGTTTACAGCAGGAAATTAAGTTTTGTCTTATAAACCAGCATGTCCACATGTTACATTTGCATTATTTAGTTAGCACCAAGACTTTTTACACTACCTCACATGATCTCACATCTGGCAACTAACAGTCCCTTCCTCCGACATTGTGACGTGCTCTTTAGTCTTCCATTGTATACTTGGTTATTCATTCACGTAGTTAAATTTACATTTTATTTATGCTCAGCGTGAGTATGGAAATTGGGGAAGAAGAAAAAGAGCTTGAAGATTTCTTTTATGCTTTTTGTATCCTGGGCCTACTAAGAAATAAGAGGGTTGCTCTAATTAAGGATCTTTCCTATCTGAAAGGACTTTCTGGACCCTCTGATCGTGGCAGGGGTCCAGAACACAAAACAGAGTGGGGTGTTTTCACCTGCATGAATTTTCCATCCCTGTACTTCCTGATTCAAGCAAGGGCTGCCAAGCAGCTTGGCACTAATGGGAAAACTCACTATGTAAGGAGCATTCATCCAAAACAGCTTCTTCCCCGTTCCTTTTGGATTTTTAAATTTCTTTTTCCCAGAAGGGCACAAAAGGACTTCAGTATAAAGCTCAATTATATGTTATGAAGAAACACTGTAGGTAGATTGCAGCTAAGTTTATGTTGTAATTTGTACTCATTCATTGCAGGACGTGTATGTACTGCTTTTGAAAAGTATAATGCTTTACCAATATGACTGGGACACATCCATATTAAAATTTTAACAGTACATACAGTTCCATGTCACCGTTACTGGAAAATCTACTGAAGAATCTTTTTTTGAAGAGAATTTGAGAAAAAATTACACAGGGCTAGTTTTGGCAGCTCTCTTTCTGGAAAATCAGATGCACGAGTTTCACAACTTCAAGAGGCATGGGAAATGCCAGCATTTTAAAGAAAAAGTTCTAATTCACTAGTCTATTATTTCAAGCTAAGCAAGAACAGAATCACCTCCTCTATTTTCATTTATATTTTTATAGTTAAAAGTTACTTACAACATATAAAATAGATTATTTGGATTGTAAAACTACTTGGACTGAGACTGTCTTATTGCTACACAATACCTAACAATGAGCAGCTGAGACCTTTCTGCACTACTCAAAACAAATAAACTATTAATAAAAACATGGTTAATAATATGCTTAAAATAATTGCTTCTGCAGTTCTCACTAACAACACAAAGAGCTTTGCTTGCTGGATTAGGACTGCTTCTCTTTTGAATTCCACTGAAAATAAGGTGATCATCAAACACCCCTCATCTGCAATAAAGGTTACACTGTTAAGCTTGCATAGCGAATCAAACTCCTCTGTCAGCTAACAGATGAAGGCTGCACAGATGTAACTGAGAGCATAAGCTGATTCAGGAAAATACACAGGAACATATTTGCACTCAAATCTCTTTTAGGTTATGTTAACCACCTAAAGTTAGGCAAGTAAGTAATCCCTTTTGTTTCATCTTATCTACACTCAGATACCACTTACAGTATATTGTCAGTCAGAGAAGGGGCACTCTGACCCGTCCATTCTCTCAAGGATACAGTTTTTGGGTTCTAATAAAAAAACAAATAGAAAAAAACAAGAAAGTTTTTTATTAGGTACTGACTGTCCTTCCCAGAGGTGGTTTTGTATTCTCCAGGAGACATTACATGCACTACTTGCCATAATCTCTGTTATTGCCAATGATTTCCAGCACATAAAATACTTGGAAGGAACAGCAATCTTTCACGTTTCTATTTACTGACTAACCAGGGACAGGAAGGAGATTTACTTTGGCAAGTGAATTAAATATCTTAGCTCTTCATCACTATTGTAAAGCCTATTTCCTGGTATTGGAAATTGTTTGCAATAGCCTGCTGCCCTTTCGTAGTTTTAAAACTACAGCGTTTCATCATTTTAGGTCAGCTAGCAGGAAGTTACTGATACATCATTTAACCATGGAACTCAGAGCTAGGAACTACAGAGTGTGACACGAGCTCCTCTCTAGAGCTGGCTTGTTCTTGAAAAACTATGTTTCATTGTAACATTCTCCAGTCTGCTCTACTGCTTCAACTTTGAAGAACTTAACTTTGAACACACTTGTCTGACTCAGCTTCCCCATTTGTGCATAGAGGAGAATAAATCTTTTTTTTTTTCCTTGCTAATTAGGGACCTAGTGAGATTAGCTAATGCTTATAATGCACTTTGAAGATAACAGTAGCTGTGCTAAATGCTACCACTAGGTGACTCACTAGAGGAAAAAAAGCAGCTGTCGGTGAAGAAGCTTTGCTTTGATAAATTATGAAAGGATGTGACATTTGATATAATTTAAATATATTTTATTCACGACACAGGACATCTCTGTTCAACTACTTTGATTTTAAAAGCCAAGAAGGTCTGGCTGCTCTGAATAATACAATAAACCTTACAACCCTCATGACTCACAAAAAGCCAGCCAAATACGACAATAAATAAGCAGCCTGGTAAACCATTTTCTCTTTTATGTACCTCTGCAAGTCCTCTCCTTCTCTACTGAGTAGACTTTTCAATTATTCCTAAAGGTCAGCAAGTATGGGTTATTCTGAGATGGAAAATATGTAGCAGAAATAACAAATACCTTTTGTGAACATGATAGGAGAGTGTTTTCAAACATGTTTTAACTGCAGAATATTGTGCCACATTTTTTCAAGCCTAGCTACAGTACAAACGTACACAACTCTAGCAGTAGTTGTTCTTGTTGCACAAAGAAAATCTGTTTGTTACCTCTGTAGACTGTAATTGTGTCAGTATGCCAGAACAGCTGGAATCTGAACTGAAAACTAAAGCTTTTATCTCCGTCAATGAAGTTAATTCCTGCTAGGTAAACAGCAATGATTTCCTGACACAAAGAAATATCACCAGCACGAGGGAAATAAACCTGTTCTCTACCTTCAGTCAATACCACTCTTTTTCAGAGACACTCCTTCCCCTGATTTACCTTGCAGTCACTGGTATCATATGTCATCCAGCAACTCAGTAACAGAGCTTTCACATTCCGGTTTTATAACCATGTAGTTCACCTTCACTTTTGCCCTTGAAAGCTTTCTTCTTCCTTGCAAGCCTAGAGTATGTGTATACTATGTGGCAATGCAAACAAACTCATTACAAGACCAGTCTTTCAGCAAGGTAGGCAGAACAACTGGATGAAGTTAAAAAAAAAAAAAAAAGAGCAACAACTCTGTCTTTCATGTGTCATTTTCCAACATTTTTATTTTCCAGAGAAGGTACATTTACAGTCTATTGCATAAGCAGTTCGAACTTATTCTGATGAAATGGTATATACCTAGTCTGAGCCATTTCCCATCTTTAACTAAATACCTTTTGTGATCACAGTGGGAGAATGTTTGTAAACACATGCTAATGGCAAAAAAGAAAAAGTTGTACTCATCTTTCTTTTCAAGCCATTGCATCTGCTCACTATAAAATAGGAAAAACGCTCACACTCTTGATGACCAAGGAGATACTGCATTTCTTACACAGTAAATGCAGACAACAGAGAAACAAAAAAACATGCTAACACATTATCCCTTTGAAACAGACAGGAAGAATATCCTTTTTTTGTTGTAAATCTAGTCACAGCCAAACTGGTTTTCTTATATGAAATGAGCTTGCATAGAATTTGATCATTCAGCATGACTTTCAGTGGCAAAAATTCATAGGAAAACACTACTTAGTTGAAACTCAAGATTTACTGTTAACAGAAAGAGGTTATAACACCCAGAGGAACAGCAGAGGTGTGCAACCCTGTGCATCACCTACGGGAATCATGGTTCTCCTTAACTAACGCTCTAGCGCTCCTCTGCGCTGAGGGTTCAGATGGCAGCAGCAAGTACAACCCACAACTCCACGACAGCGCCACAGAATACTACCAGAGGTTTTTTAACTGCTTTGCTAAACCCTTAGCATGATAACCACAAGTGATGAACTTTTTTATATTGCCACTGAGAGAGACTGACAGTGCACGGAACAAGCTCCACTACAGGTTATCCAAGTAGAGCCTCTTCTAAGGCAGATTATAAATGGAAAAATCTAGGTCAACTCTCACTGGAAAGAGAAGGAGCAATCTTTTAACAAATTTCATATTCCTAGTCCAACTCTCCACACACCGAAGCTATTTAAAAAGTGCAGGGAAAACATATTTTACAAGAAAAACAACCTTAGCAAGTTACATTTTTCAAAGAAATGTACACTGAAGCAAAGACTTAGCATTGAAAATTTCAGCCACAATAAATATGAGGATAATAACTGAAATTACTAAAACTTTTAAAGAGATATTCCTGGTTTCGGGACTGTTGAGAAGAAAATCGTCTAATTTTACAATAAATGTTTGTATTAAAAATGTTACAATTCATTTAAAAAAGCTGATCGTCCCTTTACGGAAACGTGTCAATCTACAAGTGATGTTGAAGTGCCGCAGGAGAACTGCATTCCGTTGCTTCACTTTTCCATGTCTCCCTCCAGGTAAAACTATCTGCTGGATAAAACATTCCCTGAAGAGAGGGTTTCCTTCTCCAATAACAGGAAATCATGACAAACGATAGGAAGTATAACCTGATCTGCAATCAAATTCAGTAAAGATGGGAGCCTGAAGCACCCATACTATAACTCCTGTGAAGTACTCACAGAAGCGCTTTCAGATGGAAATACCTTTATTTTCAGCTGAAATATTTTTATATTCAATTTCTAACAAGAAGTGACAGATTTTATCTGGGGGATTTTCTGTAGCCTTAATCCAGTCACTTAAAACAACAGTTCCATGTGAAACTGAGGTGTCCCATCAGAAGCATCAGAAAATAGCGTGGGTGTGTTACTCTTCAGAAAACCAAGAGAAAGCCTAGGTGTTTTCTAGACAGACTACCAAACTTAACAAGCCAGATAAGTTTATTTAAGATACTATGCCACCAAGAAAGGTAGAAGTCACTATTTTGGTTTTGTCTCACTGTTTTTGTAAATACTAAAATACCAAGCAAAGAGCATCACTCTTTTGTCACTCTTTCTTGACCATTAATTATGTAGTGTACGCCAAAGTTTTCTTTTCTCTACTTCCTAACTATATCCTAACTATATCTAACTTTTGTTTCTGAATTTTGCCACTGATCTTACTCTAGGCCTTACTGGACAGGGTGCATATCATACACGTAAACAATAAAGTGCAGTTTGGCAGTCTTTGTTCCCAAGTTCTTCATGGCTTAAAAGACGCAAAAGATCTATTGGACAGGATGGCAAGAAGAAGAGCTGCCAGGACCTGGGGAATTCACACAGCAATCCTGCTTGCGCTATGGCTGATGCAAACCCCAGCAAACTAAAACAGACTGAGGGCCTGCAATCATGTTTTACCTGGAGCGCTCGGTTCTCGTTTTCAAGAATATTGGGTTGTCTGTAAGGATTGAACAAACTTATACAGAAAAACTGATTTACTGAATATGTACTCAGACAAAAGCACTGCCAACTTCATAACCCTTCTTCGTATTTGGTAAAAATCCTTTGCAAAAAGAAGCATCATGTTATAACAGAAAATTATCACAAGTAGGTACTGTTTTCAGGAAGTTTACTGCACTTTGCTGTAAGGGAACATCAATTTTGCTCTGCCAATAAAATAACGCTGCCTTCTCTCCCTCAGTTTCCGGGAATAAACAACTTTCTCCATTCAGGCCAAACACTTTCTGTAATATCTCAACAAAACAATCTATAAAAAAGGCAAAGAATGATGTGATCCATAGAGTTTCACATCAACAAATCATAACGTATCAGATAAGTTTTTCAGTCCTGTATACAATAAATCTTTAGCTTAGAATTAGTCAGAGTAGCACAAATCCGTTTCTGCCTATATGTGCAAATTTAAATTATGCCATGTTTGAACTAGATAATCAAATCTGTTCCGCATTTCTTTTCCCCACTTACAGCTTTATAGTGCAAACATTTTTTTTTTTTTTTTTTTTTTTTAAATCCAAACCTTTTCACTGTTTCTAACTTAAAAGCTGGCTATGGGGGTTATGCTAGCAACAATACACAGAACTATTTATTTCTGACCAGGCTTATAATTCTAGTTTTGTTTAACTATCAGCAATTTAAATTGAACTGTTAAATTGAAACTAATAGCAATATATTCTGTAAGCTTTTTAAGTGTCCTCATAGGAATGAACAGTCTGCTAAAATAAATGAGAGAATAAGCCTTAATGTGGTACAAGTTGTAAATTCCTCATGCCATTGTTACGTCTATTATCCTTGGCTTTACCTCTTTATCACAGTTCTTGTACCCAAACTCACAGCTACTGTGGTATGTTTCTCTGGTTTGTTTGCAAAAACTGTTGTGAATGGATAGACAGCACATAAAGCTAAAGACAACACGCCAGTCCAGGAACCCTTATGGAATATTAAGCAATTTTAAACGGGAAAAATGACTAAGACCAAACTCCAGTAAAACTGAATTAATAATTTACTTGACAACATGAGGAAGGCTCAAGGGACATTAGCAGCATTCCCCGGACACAAAAAATGTTTCTGTGGTGGATATGGCAACATAGCATATAGTCTGACTTGGTGAATTACTCTTTCAATGTATTTCAACATACAAACCCTTTGCCCATTTTCACACATAAGCTGGATTTGCTTAAACAAATTTGGCTTCACAAACTACCTAGAAATCTATTTAAAACTTCTATCAAGGGTATACAGGGTCACTTTTAATTAATTCTCAATATTCTGAGGACTTCCTTAACATTGCACTAAAACTTTGTTGCAGAATTAAGAGGTAGCACAGCCGGGTTTCTTATTCAGTTAGACAAACACTCCTCCTTCCCCATCAAAATTCAATACTAAATTACACGAAGAAAACACATGTAGCAAATGGAAAGTGATTATGCAAGCATCAAAAAAAATTGTGTGATATATTAAAGATAAATAGCACTTGTATTTACATAGCAGGTTTGTTGTAAAGCTATGTTATGTTACTTATAATACAACATTCAAACTTAAGATTCAATGTAGATAATGAAAAATTTGGGGAATCTAAATAAAAGTTCAGTTTAGTATTTTGAGGAAAAGTGTTGTTACCTTTTCTGTAATGAATGCAAAGCGTACTTTAAGCTGACAGCACTGTCTCTGTTTCAATGCAAGGTTTGTCTTTAACATGGAAACAAAATCTAAGTTGTAGAATCAAATTACCATTTGATCAACCCTCCTGCTATGCAACACTTAAAAAAAAAAAATATTTTTTTTCTGAAACATTCAATACATGAATACATTTGCATAATTGACAGAATTCAGGTTGGCTCAATTACTTAAACAGAAATGTACTCTTTTGATGTACTTTATCACTTAGTTTCATTCTGACATTAGCTGATGGAGTAAAAATACACATGTTCAAGATTATTAACTATGCATTAACATTTCCTTTAGAATGAACCTGAATCCCTTCCCTCTCTCCATATTTTTCTGGTCCTTTATTTCCATGAGCAAAGGAAATAAGCCAATACCAGTGGCCTGGTAGCTGAAAGTGCAAGTATTTCAATGCAATTCAAACTTGCCAACATTTTCTTTGGAGCATGACATCAATTACGGATAAGTCACTTATCAATATCCAGTTAAAGGTACATGATCATTAATACTATATACTTCACTATAACAAAAAATGGTACCAGTACTCATATGACAACATAGATTACATTTTAAAGTCGAATATAAACTAATAGAAAATGTGTTCACTTTTTCTATTAAGGCCTCTGGGTATTAGAAGAAACTTTATCTTGTTTCTGGAGCATTGGGAAGAAGAAACATTCAATCTTTTTTCTCTTAATTTGGCAATTAGTAGTATCTATCTTTTATGACAGCAATTCAGGAACTGTCAGGAGACAGGAAAAAAGCAACACAGTTCTAAAAAAACACAGTTCAAAAAAATCACACTTTCTTCAACTTTTAAAGTACAACTTGAAAATATATGGAAGTAGTTTAGATGAGCAAAATAAGCAAAGCACTGAAATAACAGTAATATTTTAGCAATAAGTATTTCACATTATACATGAAATCATTAGCTTGGGCTTGTTAATACTTTTTTGTGTAATTCACATGCTTTTTGTGCTTCACATTTAGTCTTTTTTATAATACATGCATTCAGATACTTTTGGGGCATTTTTGCCACAGTTTGGTATAAAAGTGGCAGATAACACAGTTAGATCAATCAACGCAGTTGAAATGTACATGAAATAGTGCTACGCCATTTTTAGGAAATTCATTTGTAACAGGGAATTGTATCTCCTAAGTGATGTAGGCTGAAACAAGTATTTCAATTCTTTGTTCTCTAATTGGGCTACCCACAAATTGCAGCAAATCACATGCAACATGTCTGTTAAAAAAAAAAAAAACTGTTAAAAAAAAATCTTAAAAAGCTGTCAATGGCCTGAAATAAACTTGCCTAAATGTCAGGATGAGGAGTGAGACTGACACGTCTGGTCTCCTGTGCAAAGCCCACTTATCTCGGATTTATCTATTAATCTCATGCACACCTTTCTTAGGAGTACATGCAAAATCATGAATTCCCACAAAACCGAAGATCCTTTCAAAGTGCCTCTACTTCCTGTTCCAAGTCCAAGGAGCGCTTCCTCAAGCTGTTTTTGCTAATGCAACAGATAGCAGCGTGCACATAAAAATACACAGAACTCTGTGAAGGAGAAGTGAGCGTTGAGAGGGAGAGAGAAACGAGTCACACGTCAAATGTTTGCTATTTTCCTTAACACATTTCTATTACATGTTCATTCACTGCAGTGGTAGAAGCGGTATAAGAACATGACTGGAAAATAGAGTAGTTTACAATATAGCTGGACATTTTTGCAAAAGAAACTCTAGAAATACAGAAATTGGAAATATGTATTTTTAAATTACTGGAGATGTCCCCCATGAGCTGATCTTTAAATATAGCTAGAACAACAGATTATTACTGTAAGATGCATGATGCTCTGCTGAAAAGTATGAGTTTAAGGACCATTGGTGGAAGTACAGCTACCATAAAAAATGCTGCAATGACAACCTAGAAATAAGAAAATGTAACTCCCCACTTTGCTCCTGTGTATGCTTCACTCTGCTACAAATCTGAATAAAGCACAAAACTATAAAAATATTTTGCCATAAAACAAGAATACAGAAAATTTTCTGCATGGATTTAAGCGCTCACTTCTTCCCAAAAGATATCGCTTATTGTCATTTGGTAGCCTATACTTTAAAACACACGTTAAAAATAAATGAACAAGCAATACTCCTGCTGCAGTAATCCATCATGCTTTTGGACAAAATACAGATATCAAGTTCCTACTCTGAGGGTGCTAAAGCAAGGCATTTGTGATGTTGTTTACGGAAACTTTTCCATGCTGTAAAAAAGAAAAAAAAAAGAGAACCACTGCATAAGAACAATTCTTTAAGGAATGTTCTGCTTCCCTAATTTTCTATTCAAGAAAAAACCTAAATAATTATTCATTTTAAAATAAATGGCCCATTGTACTGTCAAGACAAGTTTCTCAAAGCATGGAGCTATGCATGAAAAACAAGTAGGGCAGAGACCATTCTTTTTGAGGGAAGGCACATTTTTAAATGGTTCAACACTTTCTGTAAACAACCTAGTGGGCTCCAGAGGCCTTCAGTACTTTGCAGCTGTCGAGGAAGGTTTGTTGTACCTATTAAGTCAGCCCTCACAGTTAATCTTTCCTATAATTTTTTTGTACTTTATCCTAATATATACTCACCCATATAAGTAATGCTAAATGTGAAAGCGTCACTAAGTTTTTACACTCTTCGTTAAGATTATATATGCTCCTCTACAAAAACACTCCGTTTCTGTCAGCTATTCATCACATACACTGGAACAACTTAGGTCCCATAGCCTGAATTCCATTGCCCCATTAAATGAATAAAAAGATTAATTAAATAGCCATTATAGACACTTCTCAGCTCACACACTGTCAACTAGACAAGAGCTGACCTTTTACTTTGGGACTTTTTCTGAGGAACTTTCATAAAACTGTTATTCTGAATAGCCCAGAGTGCAAATTGCTACTATTTTTATGAAGCTGTAACACAATCACATTTTTCTTTAAGGAACTTAATTTTTAAGGAAATTTCTGTCTCAGTATAATAACAATGCATTTCATTTTGCAATAATAAGGACAATATTGCACTGAATGGAAAATGCTGCATACAAGATGAATACAGTAGTAAGGTCCTAAAGCAATCTCATAATCTGAGCAATTTTAATTTTCTTGCATCTTACTGAACCTTCCCTAAAGCTTGTATTTCACTGAAATACAAGTTTGCCTTTACATTACTATCCTTAAATATTTAAGCTAAAAGTTCTTAGTTCCATTTTAAATAATATTCATAATCAGTATATTTTCAAACACTTTGGTCAACACACAGTACTGTAATCAAACTGTTCCCTCCTTTTGAACCATAAATAATAGCTAATAATAGTCTGCAAATTGAGTATCAAGCAACTATGAAGGAATAGAATTCAATATAAAGACTGTATAAAGACAGTCAGCGTTCAAACAGGTGCAGATATGCAGTTGCACATTGTGTAATACAAACACCATTTTTTAAAATAGTTGAATAGAGGAGTCCAGCATGAAAACAAATAAGTTACTAAAAAGTCTAACTGATAGTTCTCAGAAGTGATAGACACTAATAAATTCTGACTAATGCTTAGCATTTATACAGTACTTCACATTTTCAAAGTGCTATACAAACGCTATCTTGTTACAGGGATGAAGTGTGTTATTCAAAGGCAGGACATAAATCCAAAGTGAATCGTGATCACATGAACAGCACCATGATAGTAAGAACAGAATTTAAGAAATTTAATCACTACAGAGATCGGGTACTTTATAAATCGGCTAGCTATGCAGGAACTACAACGGAAGAAACACATTTTACAAGGGCAAAGCATAGATATGACATTATTACCATTCATGAAATGTACTTCTGTGGCCACAAGGAACCGACACTGGAGCTTTCACTATCTCCATAAGCTTAAAATGCCTAACTCAGAAGTCATTGCAAACATAGGGAAACCTTTTCAGTGATAAACAGATAGCTTATGTTTTAATATAAACAATTTCTAAGATACCTCATCCTTATACATCAATGTAGATTCCATGTTTTATAGACATTAATTCTCTAGTGCCTGTTAAGTACATAATAAATGAACATAGATGAGGTAAAGATGCTGTAATTGCCACATACAGCCAATACGGCAAAGGCGGAGTTTTTCCAAGTGGGCAAATCCAGAGGCCATGACGAATCCCGTCACGGACATGATGAGAAGTCCAGGATATGAACAACATCCAGGGAAGAAAGCACCATGAGTCCTTAAGCCTGAAAAGGTGCATAATAAACTTTAATGTCAGAGCCACAACAGGAATCACAGTAGAACAATGAAGAAGTGGTCTTTGTGGAAGAGTCAGAGCAGCCTGCAGAAAAGAAAAATATAATTGGCAATGGCTCAAACCATGGCAGGGAAAAAAAATGCTTCATGGATGTTTAGAGGTGTATTATCAAGTGGCTGAATGGAAGTGCAAAGAAAAAGGTATTTTTCCTTTCCACTTTAGTTGATCAAAATTAACAATACGAATATTCAAATGCATGACAGCTGTGTACTGCCTTATCAATAGCAGAGCTGTGGGTGGTGGGACAGGCTCTTCTCTAGCACGTGATATGAATCATGAATCCTATTAAGCAGTACTGATGGTAAAACTGGTAGGAGAGGCGTGACATATGCTATTTAACATTTAGTCATGTGGTATACGTTAACCTGTATAGTATACTGCACTATGTATTATAAGTATTATTTCAAGATAACTTACAGGGAAAACAACCACACACTTGAAATATTAAATATGCTTTAATGACATTTATGTTCAACGAGACACTGTGTATTATACCACTTACCATCTGTGATATATTAGTTCGCCAATATCTAATACAAAGCGGCAATTTCTAATACCACACTAAAAATATGATGAAATTTACATAAATTTGGATTGCCTTGGCAAAGTGTTCGCCATTAACAGGGAAAAGACATGTTCAAAAGCCAACATTTGAATAACTTGTGATTGGGGTTTTGATATTAACAACTTGTTTAATATTCCTTCAATTAAAGCCTGATATTTGATTTTAATTAAGGTGAACGTCTAGCTAGTAAGTCTTCATAACACAGAGACTGAATTTAGCCTTTTAAAGAAATGATAATTATTAAACGTACATACTTGAGAAAATATTCTGGATGTACTTATTAGCAACAGCTAGCACTATCTCCACATTATCTCCACAAACTCAAAAGACAGTAAAAACTTAATGCTCTGGATCTCAGAGAACTTGTTCTAAGCAGCAAATAAGTAGACTCTTGTTTCTGTAAGAATAGGAACAATAATGGCACATTACTAAAAGACCTATACAGAGGAGAAACGACAAGCATGATTAACAGTCAAAGCGGGGCAAGCCCCTCAGCAAACTCTGCCTACCAACACCTAGTAACTAACGTTCAGCAGTTCAGTGAAGCATGACTTCATAATTCAGCATCAAAGATGCTTCAGTGGTAACCCTTCAACCCTCTTTTCCTACCTTCTGGCTCTCCTGAAGTCTGTAACTTGAAACATGGGTCATATTCATTAATTTTTTGCTCATTTAACCCTGTTATCTTCATGACCTTCTGGAGAGTCATCAGACTAATCCACAGTATCTTCTGTTCCATGGGTGTAATCACAATTTGCTGATGCGATATTAATTGGCTTAATTTAAATACTAGTGAACATTTGGAAAGGCTGTAACAGGCACCTGACATGATAGTACATCAGGCTGTTATGTTGGACATGCATCTCACTGCCCCTACTGCTGGAAGCAGAGCATCACTACAGGACACAACCCAGTAATCTGTCCATGCAACACCTATGTTAACTGCTACAGGATTCAACTATTATTGTAACAGCAATTGTGGGACTCTGGAATAGCTTCAAGTTCTTGTGGGTATGTATTATAGACAAGTGCTTGGACCCTGCCTTCTCTGTAAGGTAACTGGTGTAAAGGAAGAAAGATGTCTCAACCTTAGCCAAGAAATGCAGAGATGCATTTCCCAAGGCATTTCCAAGTTATGCACTTCCCTGGGATATAACTGGCTTTGGATAACGGCAGAGGCTACGTTAAAAAAATTTGCAGAAAGCTTTGCTCTATTAGCATCCCACCACATGCTTGCCTGTGACTCTCTTGAGCAGGTGACGGGGAAAAAGCTTACAAATACAAAAACAATCCAGTAAAAGTCTCATAACATTGTCTCAACAACTTTTAACTGAGCAAGTATGGAACCAACTCTTTTGACTTGGTGCGAGGATATATTTTTTTGCAAATTTATTTTTTTTCCTCCCCATACAAGCAGATTGTTCAGAGATTAAATTAGAATAATCCCTGTGATAGTGAATTTTTTTTTATTATCTAGCCTACAAGGTAGTCAGATTTTGTTATTGTCAGCGTGGGTCTAAAAAGTCCATATGACTCTATTTTCGCAGAATTGTCCTGGATAGTGATACATTTTGGCAGAGATCCTGTTCACTGGTCACTGCTTCTGCACTTTGTGGAAAAAAAGAAAAAAAAAGAAAAAAGAAAAAGAAGCTTTCAGTGGTAAAGTCCAAACGGTTCTTTTGCCTCTGCCCTATGGAGCTTAGGTGCCAATGGCAAACTCAGTGGATAGGGATAATTTGAACGTTGATTATTTAAGCAACTTATCAGTATTTAACGCCAATCTTTATCCAGCTCTGGGGAGGCAATCCTTGAAAATTTTTCATAAGAGAATTAGTTAGATGGCCGGGTTGCTTGTAAGGCAAACCACAGTGCTGAATTTTAGCAACAGAAACCCTATTTTATAATTGCAGCATGGTCATCAGGCTTCTGAAAAGATGTCGTCCAAGCTCCTGATCTGCTTTCTCTTTTACATTCAGTAACTAGAACAGTTACATCCTTGAGTTGCCAAGCCCACATATTTCTGTTTGGAAATATAAGCTCTTACACTTTCTCTTACTCCTAACAGGCAGATTTGTTGGTCTTTCGAAATCATTAGGTCTTAAAAAAACGGTTACAAGCCTTTTGTGCCTCAAACCCCCAGAAAAAAAAATCAGCACGGAGTGGGCAGACTTGGGGAGAAGTTTACCATAAGAGAGGTCAGGCTGCAGTCACTAACAAAATTTGCTCATGACACAAATGACCTTTTCCATATGCCTAGATTTTCAATCAGGTGCAAGAGCTTCTTGAGGTTCCTGTTCCTCCAGCACCTCTCATATACTACGATGAGAAGCTGGAGATAGGTGACAACAACGTGAGCTCCCTCAGTCACATTCTGTGACCCCTCAGAAGTCTGAGGTTCCAAGTTTTGGGCTAATTCCAGACCTGTACCTTTACTATTGAGTTCACTGTGCCATGCTTGTTCTCAAAGTACAGAAATGCTCCTGTGCAGCCCAGGCTAGATCACCAGCAGCACGTTAACTGGCTCTGTTACAATTTTTTTCTGATACAGTCCATCCTGATTGCTTGCCACTAACTGCATTCTCTACACTTTCGGGAGCCTGTAAGTCTTAAGCAGCAAAATAGCAGTGTCTGTGCATCTGTTCTGTAACCTGAGTGTCTGTTTGGGCTACAATCCTGGGGATGCTTCTCACCAAAGTCCAGGTGGTACATTTGGCCAATCATGCTGCTTAAGTTTATCAACAGAGCTGACTGGGATGGCAAGCTGCAGTAATTTCACTTTTAGGACTAGTCAGTGTGACAAATTCCCCAAACACTGATTCTTAAGATTCTTTTGTGTTTGTATGTATACAATATATAGTAGAAATTCTGGTATACATGGAACTACAAATTCGAAGCAGCAAGATCTTTGTAGATTTTATACTTGTTCCAAAAAATAATATGGGTAAAAGAGTAGATCACGTGCTACTTGGTATGCAAGTATTTATCAGAGTAAGCATATAAATACTGCAGGTGACTATTTACCCTGAAAACTCCAGAAGAATAATGATGAAACCATGAAAAACAGCGCAATAGTCAAACAGCCGGAGCAGCAGGCTGTGTTGGCAGTAACAGAAGCAAACGCAATTCTACTGGAGGAGTGTGGAGGTAGCATGTGAAGACAGATGACCGTACTGCCTTATGGCAAAAGGAAGCGTTATTCAAAAAAGGAACCCATCATCAGATTTTAGGATGATAACTAATAGCTTTATAATTGCTTGCCGTATTGTGAAAAATGCTATAATTATAACTTAGTAATAGTGCTGTGCTTAGTTAATGAGAATACTAATTTCTTAGTTTCTTAGTAACGTTGTTTAAACAATAAACACTGTAGTCTCTTAAATCAGTAACTCTCAAGCCAGCATTCTAAAGAGGGAGAATGGGATTGGTAAAGTAAAGTAAAAAGTAATTAACAAAAAGGTAACTCATGAAGTAATAAATTATAGGAGAGTACTTCAGTTGCAACAGGAATGTGCTGAGGACAAGATTGGAATTCAGAATCATCTTGCTATGTGGACAAGCCTGGAATCATGACACAAAACAGAGGCACACCATATTAAGCTGAAGAAAGAAAAATCAAATATAAAAATTAGGTCTAACTAGCCAGGCAACAATACAGAACAGAGTATAAGGGGATTATATTAGATCACACACTAAACATTCGATTGTGATGGCCTCACAAGGAGAGACAAAACCTGTAATAGAAATCTTTAGAAAAGAAAAACAAAAGTGTAGTAGTATGCATGTAACCTGAGAAAGAATTAACCTGTTCTACTTGCCTCATAAGGCCTCATCTAAAATACTACAGGCAGTTTGGGATAGAACCCTTTAAAGATCTTTTAGGCAAGAGTCAATCCAAAGCAGACCAGAAAAATAGCAGAAGTCTAGAAAACACAAATCCAGGCCCTTCAGCCTTCTTGGGGACTTATTTACTCAAGAACAGACTTTCTGGAAGGCATAATGCTTTTACAAGTTTTAAGAGTAATGCTGTTAGAACTGTAAGGGTCTAGAGATGCACTAGAAGATAGCATTTGTAGATAGAATAAACATCCTTTATTAACCCAGTTAACATATTTGAGGTGGGAAGAGTTACACAGAGGCAAGCAACTATGAAAGGGTCTTTAGGGTAACTTGAAAGGGTCTTTGGGTAATTTGCCTTCTCCTCACTTTAGTTATGTAAGCTGGGCTATTGAAGAGCTATTCTTCTGCCTGAAGATCTTTTATTTCTAATTTGTAAAACATTTTTTGAGATAGCACAACAGTCAACTATTTCTCCCAAAGAAGCCTTCAAGAAAAAGTGACCAAACTGCTAACAAAGATGATTTAGGTTGGGTATTAGAAAAACAATTTCTAGCTGTTTAGGAATTGAAAAAAAAAACCACAGGAACAAATTAACTCATGATATTGCACTAATTTACTTTGGGATACTAGGAACAGTCTAGACAAACATTCTGCATCATGGAAAGCGTAAATATATTTAATATTGTCTCACTGAAGACAGTAAGGAGAAAGAACACCTCCTAATTCTGTCCTACAATCCTATGATAAAATACAATATCCAGGTTTCTAAACTGACATTGTTGTAGAATGCCATCTAGTGGTGGTGATTAAGGAAAATATAGGTTTTGATAATAAATGCAAGAAAGTAATACGATTGTTGCAACACTTAGTAGGTTTTAATAACTAGGTATTCATTACTGTGTTTACCTTTTCAAAATAAGTGAAAACACACAAAAAATAGATTTATATACAATATTAAAATGTTAGTATTTCACAGGTCACATTAATCATCCAAAATGATTTTTTCTTTTTATAGTTTCATAATTTTACAATATTTCCATATACAAAAAGAACAATAAAGGGGGCAAATGCTTTCTCTTTCAAAGATGAATAAGGGGGAAACTAATCATATCAGAAGTTCTGCCAAATGAACAAAGCAAATGCGAGCATCTTTTAATTACAGCAAATACGGATACTATATATAAGCAAAGAAGATAAAGTATTTTCCCCATCAGAAGCTTGATTTTTGGATCTCTGTCACAAGCAATAATGCTTCTTGCGTTCATCACTCCTACCAAATTTAAAAATTTGCTAAATGATTTTGCATAGTTCCTCTTCTAGTTAAGGAATTACACAGAACAGCAGTTCTCCCTCCATCTCCTTCCTTCCTCTCCTGCCTCTGCTTCTTAGGAGTTACTTCCTCTGTCAACCACATGAAGCGTTTAACACTTCTCCAAGCAAACTGGGGAAGAGGAGGAAAGAAGGCAAGAGGGTCAAACTACCAAAGTATGCTCTGGCAACTTGCTGGATAAAAAGCTGCCGCCTTTTTATCTTCCCCCGGGCAACAGTAGGTCAGTCTGGAGGTGGGGAAAATAAGTATCACGTATGCATATGCTTGCTAGCAACACCAGCACAATTAGACTGTGAGGAAGTAGAGCACCGAGGCTCTGGCTAAGGACACTAGGAGCCAGCTGGGTGCAAAGAGCACCTGCCGCAACCGGATGCGGAGGATCTGGAGGGCAGGGCTAAGGTGAGCGTGGCCTGGGCTGGCACTGCTGGAGCTTGGGGAAGGTGCAAATATTTTGGAGAGTATACAACATAGACTGTTGTGCTCAGACAAAAGCCAGGTATAAATCTTTGAAGCAGGCAATAAGACAGGGACAAATATAACTGTGTGTCTGGGGGAGCGGGAATAAGACAGATGTAAAAAAAATTTGAGAACCACTCACAGAAAATGCCATAATCTGGCTATACTAATCCTACTGAGGAACTCTATCCTAACAGGCAGTTCTGCAAAAGGATGATGATCCCATATACTCCTAAACAGGAGCCAATTCACTTTTCCTTTTATTAACAAGTTTGACACTTGCTTGAGTTTCTTCTACGTTTGTCCTAAAATGTAATTGATTGTAGATTACCTTCAAAAGACGGAACAGGTCATATATTGTTTGCTATTTCTGCTCTGCAATTTATGAGCACAAGTAACTAACAATAAAGCAATCTTAACCTGCCTGAAAATATCTGCAAGTTTGGGGGTGGGGGTGAATAGTCAGGGCTGGTGATTTCTCAGTAAGAATGGTTGAAAGTAACAAAAATAGAAGTTAGATTATCTGTTTTCCAGAGATTTCTACTCATTATCTTTCTTTGGGATTTTATAATCACAGTGACTGGGTACAAAGTATGAATTCCCATGCATCTTTTAAAAAGTATCTAATTAAAGTATTGTTGAAACTTCTTTGTAGAGCATATGGTGGAACCAATAAAGTAAACAGCGATTAACAACAAACAAAGACAATAAGCAATCTCTGATCAATTTACTTACCTTTAATGACAGGGAGCCAGCAAGAAAGAAGTGGTCCACGTCAATGACGGAAGAGAGGAAGCCTGCCAGAGTGACTTCAGTGAAGTCACTTTTCTTCCTGAGACCAATCACTATTGCCCAGGACCACATTCCTAGTATACCATGCACTGCATTATCAGAGAAGGCTCGAAGCCAGTCATTTTGCTGAATGAAGGAAAACTGCAAAAGTCTGTCCACTACAAAGCAGAACATTCCCAAACACAGACTAGAAATCACTGAAGCTGTGCTGAAAGTCTGGAGAAGAGCATGGGCCTTTTCAGTCTCAGATGCCATTGTAAAAACCATGTCACTGCACACAAAGCGTCATCAGGATATACACTGTGCATTGTTCTTTGTAACTTCAGTCGTTCTGTAGATGTCAGAGAGAACGGAGAGAAAAGTCTTAAAGAAAAACATACTTCGTAAACGTATGCATTTCCACCCTAGTACCGCTCTCTGAGCAACTCATAGTTTATCCTGCAGAATGGTACGAAGAATAAGCATTAAGATAACCAAAACTACTAAAACATCTTCAGTATTTAGGATCAACACAAACTTGAAGAGAACACCTTTCGATCAAGAAGTAATCAAAATTAACTCATTACAAAGCAAAGCTACATGTGTTTCTCCTCAGTATGTGCTCAACAGCAACCCCTACTGTCACTTCCAAGACTCTTCCAACATTCTTCCAAAGGCAAAAGGATGAAAGAAATAAAGGCAAAAGGATGAAAGAAGTAATCCTGTTCTCTTACTTTTGAAAAGCTGACTGCTGATTTGAAAATAAAAGCACTGATATTAGTATTAATGATTGATTTCTACCACTTACAAGTCCTCAAATGTTTATTTACATTCTCAAAAAAAAAAAAAAAATCACCTTTTACCAGACAGTTTTGTAACCATTTCAGAATGACTACCCTTTCCTTAAATAACTGCTTACACCTCAAAAGAAACCACACACTAAATTAAAAGACCCCCACACAACAAGGAACTATAGAATACATGGATCATACTCATTTCTGTGTTAATTTTAAAAAACACTTTCCAAATAAAAGTTCTCATAATTGATGTATTCCCTAGCTTTGTTACGTTAAATAAATAATTAAAAAGCAGACTTCAAAGCACAACATCAATTCTAACTATCCAATTTTTATGTTTTTTCTCTCTTTTGGGGGAAGCCCTGGAGATAGACAGGATGAAGGCTTTGAAATGATGGTCTGAAAATGGGTTCCTTCCCAAGAGGGTGCTATTTCACTGCAGTATATTAAATCTTGATAAGCATAACATCCTTTGTTCTAACAGTTCTATCAGGTAAAATTTTATTCTAAAGAAGTCTTTATGAATTTTAAATGTTTTGTTAAAAATGAATTATTTCTATCACTGTTGGCACATAATATTTTATGATTTTAAACACTTCATCAACTATTACAAGCCCCACAATACATCATATCTTTCTTCGATTTTGTCTACATGCCTGCTTATTGTAGAATTATCCACAAGACTTGACTACAGGCATTGATTTTTACAGGGAAAAAAAAAACACTGAGGCATTTATTTGAAAAAGGTTAAAAAAAGAGAGAAGAAAGCATGAATAATATATAGGCTTTGCCTACAGATAAGAAAAAGCAGGTCAAGTTTAGAGTCTGTTAACCATGACTGCGTCCCTACATGATTATTCAGAAGAGTTTCTTGAACACTGGAAATGCAATTTATTACGGTAACTTTACAAAATGCAGTATATTTTGAATAAATTCCATTTTAAGGAACAAACCGCTTAGCCCTTAAAAGTATTACTTCTATACAACCATCATGTCAGGTCGGATTTTATTTGAGACCTGCATAAAACCTGAATAAGCCTCCTGTCTGGGAAGAAATGATGCAGCAACGCTTCCTTAAAAAGCATACGAACATTTAGTGCCAAACTTACCCTGACACCAGGAGGACACATCTTCCCTCCTCCTCGCTTCCCTCCCCCCCCCCACCACCACTGCAGTTGCCTTGACTTATTCCAGTGAGAAATGTCATCTATGCCTTAGAGCTGTACCTCTGTGGCTGCTGAATCCAGTCCAGTTCAGTCAATGTAGGAAAGAAAGATCCACACCTACATAAATGAACCAAGGCAACAGTAAGCACAGAGACTACAAAAAGCTTTACAAACTCTCCATAAAACATGCATGAAAACTGAACAATATTCAAGATTCAAAAAGAAGGAAGCAATATCTTTCTAATGAATTCCTAAGTAAATATAATTGAGCTGAAAGTAACTTCAGCTAGGGCTTAGAAGATCCGTAGAAGGCGGCAGAAAAAAGTCACACTGTAACACAACAGAAAGGCACAAATAAAGATAGAAAACCCAAAAATAATAAAATCCAATGCCATAAAATCAGAAAAGAGCACTTCCAGCCTTCTATTTTAAGGAACTGCATTTCAAAACGTAGAGAATTTATCTGAACAGATTGTTACCTGTAGCTATGTGCCTTAAAGATTCCCAGCTGAATGAAACATAATATGAGTCCCATCCAGAGATTCTTTTTAATTTAATCTAATCAATTAATAATCTTAGTATAGATAAACAGAGATGTACAAAGTCAAACACCAAGAGGTCTGTGCCAATTCTCATCTTATGCTCCTATGCTACAGGTATTATTAACATGTACATAAAATATATAAGAAAAGTATCACGACAAACTTAAAAAAAAAAAAAAACCAAACCCAAATGAATATCTTTGAGAATTATTTACCAAAAATGAAACAAAGTAACACTGCCAACTGGAAAACAAGAACAACGCATAGACGGGTGTCTTCGAGCAAGAACGTAGAACTGGAAGCTAAACTCAGCTTTAGTTGAGTCTCTGGCATAACTGTTCTTTGTAAACAGTCTGCCCCTGCAGACTTTTGTAGACAAAAATGACAACTCTCTGTAGAGAATCAAGTTACATTCCCAGATAAAACAGTGTAGGTATAAATATGCTGCAGGTCGAAAGTGACAAATCAGACAAGAAAGAGCAAAACTCCATTCAACTAGAACTCCTAAATAATCTTTTTTTTTTAAATCTAAAACTAGAAACTGTATTTTTGTCTGAAAAAATGTTTTTCATACTGCTTATAAAATACTGCAAGAAAGTTTTGTAAATTTTTCTATACTATAAATCTCACAAAGCACAGCATTAAAGGAATAATCAATTTAATCTACTTTGCTAAACAAAATATTGATTGTTCTTTCCAAACTGTTAATTCCAAATACAACAAAACCCACAAAATACTGAACAGAAAGTCTGTAGCTCAAGTTCCACACAAAAGTATTACATAGACAAAGGTACTACTTCCTGTGAGATTGTATAACATGGTTTAATAATCTTAAAAAAAGATTATGCTAATAATAATATTTAACCTCTTTGTATACTCTTGTCTACAAATACAGCCAGTGAAAACACAGTACACTGTCACTCCATCAAACCTCTAAAGGATCAAACCCTTCCACACCATAAACAGGAATATCAGCTCTGTACATAGCACTATAGAACTAAGGGAATATTATCTCTAGCTTTGGAGCTCATATTCTTATTATTAAAACAAGAAACTGGGAAATAGATGCATAATACAAGAATGCTTAGAAAGCTAACTTCACAACTAAAGACCATAGGTGCTTAGTTCAGTTAATATACTGAAGAAAAGATTTAGACTGGGTTTACACATGCACACAACAGTTGATATAGTAAAGCATTAAGCTTTATAATAGATAAATTATTAAGCATGATCTCTGTCTATACCCACAAAATGCAATTTTGCTGATATATCTCACTTCAGTTAAGGAAATCATAAAAAGGTTTTTTTTAAAAAAGCACAGATGACATTGTAAATTACTGACACAAGAAGAGATTTAGTACATCAGCCCTATAAGCATGGATGTGGGGAAATACCCGATATTAAAAGGCCTTTCAATTTACCCTGTAAGAGCAAAATAGAAAGGCAAGGGCTACAGTTAACCTTTAGAAACATTATCGCCCTCCAAAATTTTTGCTCCAACTTAGTAACAAGCTACTAGGTGCATTAATATATACAGGAATTAGTGCAGTGAAATTCTACTGTCTACTTTATGTTAAAAGCCAAAAGATCACAGTGGTTCCTTATATTTCTATAATCTACTAAAATATTATTTGGTACTGGAAACTAATTCCTATGCAAAACCGCATCAAATACAATGAAGGTTAAAGACGAGATCAAGCCCTATACAGCACTATAACCTGGAAAAGTAGATCAGAGCGTAAAATAATCTGAAGGACTAGTAACTACAACAATTTGAGGTCAAGTAATTATTATGTCAGGGAGGGAAGGGCAGGGCGTGAAGGAGGTGGTCGGAGAAGGATGAGGATAAAAACATTTCCTAAAGCATGCAAGTGTCAGCAGAATTTAACGAGATACTGAGGAACACACTGTGAACTGAAATCACAATGAATTTAAGGGGGAAAAAAATGATTAAATTGAGGATCTGCAACTTGGCAATTAAATTGTTTATTTCAGGGACCAAATATGAAAGTGACTGAAAAAGAGGCCAAAATAGATTCAAAATTCAAATTTTCTCTTTAACACGTAATTCAGAAGTGAGATGTATCTGGGAGAAAAGGAGGAGTTGAAAGAAATATCCTAAAAGCATATAGTAACCTTAAACAAAATTACAATACTATCAAGTTGAAGAAAGTTTCGTTTGTTATCCTAGACCAAAAAAAAAAATAAAGTGTGATTAGGAAGGTATGTGAATTAGCCCCGTTAATTATAACAACATTTGGATCATAAACAGCTAATCCACCTGGAAATTAAAAATACAATCAGTCTGTGTAACTAAGGAGACGGACAAAGGAAAAGACAAGCATGCTAGAGACACGCGATTACGGGCAGCAGCAACAAACGCGTTTTTACGCCTCGAGGCAAGGGCATCGCTTGCTTCAGCGACCTGCACCGAAACTCCCTGTCAGCCATCTCCTCAGTCATTAAAAACACACACGTACCGTCATCTTCCTCACAGAAACGGAACCCAGAGCGTTAAGGCGACACTTTAAATCACGTCAAGTCCGTTCCCCTTCCTTGTTATCAAGGCCGGACACCGCGCACGTACGCCCGCCCCGCGCCAACAACCGCCGCACGCTCGGCGCTTGTCGCAGCA